GAAGAAATTAGTAGTACTTATTTACTACATTATTCATTACAATCTGATTCTCTATTATTTTGTTTTATATATGGCCTTTTCCTTAGTCAAAAGGAAAGTTACAGACAGTTCTTACCTTTTGAACATCAGTATCATGCTTCTGCTGTAATTTAAGCTTTTCCTCATGAAATTTAGCTTCCACTATTTTTATTTTCATGTCCAGCTTTAAAAGCAAAATCAAACCAACATAAAAGTTAAAGACTAAATTACAATAATGTCTTTTCAATAAGTTTTAAATTATTCATTGACATCTTAGTGACTCCTCACTACCTTCTCAAGTGACTTGTATTAAAAAACACCTCTATCCAGTTTCTCAGTGTTTTCATATTTATTTGAAAAACTGCTAGAGCAAAGCTCAACCTAAAATATTTAGTCAGAAAATAAATTCGTAAGAGGCTTTCGCTGGCAATAAAACAAATGCTACTATCCAGAAAATAAAATACACTCTTTTATTTAAATAAACACTTAAAATTAAATTGTTAATATTTATGTTAATATGCCAAGAATGGTAAGCATGCTTTTATTCCTCAGGCAGGTGTTACATTTATACAAAGAACGTCCTATTGTCCACATGAATGTTTATTTTTGTTTTCTGTTATTCAAAGATTTCACATAATAAGCACATTTCCTTTGGAAGGCTCCTTCTAATGGCATTAAGAATATAACCGCTGCATTAGATTTCTGAGTACATTGCCTGCTCAGCCTGTTTTTGTTGATGGTGGTGTACTTAAAACCTTTCTTTAACACAGCAACACATTGACATTTATTATAGTCCCACTTGTCATCTTAGAAGTATCTTTAATCTCTTGCATAATTTCATACCTTTGAAGAACTCTGCAAATTCAGCAAGTATTTTTGGTTTCTCAGAGTTTTCTAAAATGCAAAAATGCCGCCTCTGGCTCAGATTCAGACTATTACACTTGCACAGGTGATCATTTCTCCTGCTCAGAAAGCAAAGCAGCCAAAAAAGCTTCTCAAGGATATTAATGATGGATCTTAATGACCTCCCTTACTTCGGAAAGGACAGGCCAAAGCCAGGTAAGCTTGAGTACCAACATCACATGAAATGATGTCCTTACTGACAAAGGAAAGCAAACAAGCAAGAACCACACACCGACACACACAAGGATTTGCTTTCAGGAAGTTCTAGGAGCCAATGGTGCTGAGATCCAGCCCCTTGTAGCTGGTCATTCAGCTACTGGCAGGTTTCCAAAGTTTAGCTCAACTAGAAGCCTCACTTGTTATCTTCAGCAGTGAAACTTTAAAGGAACCAATGAGCATTTTTCACTGTACAGTTACTCCTTTATCAAAGGCAGTCAACCAACCATGTCTATCCAAAATAAAGAATATATATCAAATGATTTATTCTAATACATGATTTTATGCTACAAACCAGTTCTTTGCAACTTGAGGGATTATATAACTTTTAAAAATTGTGAGCTCCAAAAGCATAACAACTAGAAAATGCAGCAAATATAGAAGACTTGGCAATGGCTGGAAAGAGGAGAAGAGTAGCCCATACTTTAAACTTCTGGACTCCATATCCACTGCTATTCAAAGAATATGCCTGATAATTGTCCTGCACATAAAGAGGCTACCTATTCCCCAGGTCAAGGAGGCTCAACCCTGTAAACAACCAGGCAAAAAAGTTGTGCTGATGATTAATCCAAAAGAAAAAGCAGTGTGTTCTCATCTTACAGCTCTCCCTTTCACAGTTCTGAAATAGGCTTAATGATAAAAATTCATATTCTGTACATAAAATATATGCAAATGTCTAAAAGAAAATACATGCTTATGCCCCTCCAGCAAAGTGACATTAGAGAAAAAAATCTTACTACCATATGAAAAATAAATGCCGATTTAAAAACAGCCCAGTAATCCACTTCTAGATAGACAGTCGCTGAACGTTTTCTCAGTAAATATGAAGTCCTTACAGAAATGCAATTACTAGAAACCAAACATGAAAGAGCCTCCAATCTACTTGAATTGCATTAAAAGTGGATGAACCCCTGATGCACAACCATTGTAGAGCAGAGTCATTAGATCCATACAAATACATTGCATTTTAGTCCTTAAAGTGATGTGAACTACACAGATATCAACTAATCCCTGGAATTTTGCATCAGCTGAGATCTGGGCTAAGCTTTTATCACTCTATAGGGTGAAAAATCATGAAAATAAATCAAACTAAAACTTGTCTCACATTAAATTTGGACACCAGTTTTAAAGGGATGCTGGTGGGTCTCAGGCACGCGGCTGTTTTCACACAGATTGACAGAAGTCTCCATAGCTGGAGTTGGCTGCCACTTCTTGTCATTAATCTTGCACTTAAAAATGCTCTTTCACTTGCACTCATTCCATCAATTTTAGTTTACTTGATATTCATTACATTGATTTCAATACAATCTCCTTTAAAATTTCACTGGACTGGGGACTACTTTCCAAAACAGACTGCCGGCTTTGTCTCAGGAGAATTAGTTGTAAACAAAACAAAATAAAATCTGAAATTTGTGTCCAAGATATAGAAGTCATCTCATAAAAAAGCAGTGTAGTATCAAATAGATTATTTTTAAATGGTTAAAAAAAAATTCAAGTCATTCAACCTGTTAGAAGCAGCAATTAATTGTCCTAATGCTCATTAACTGTAATATTCTCCATTACCAGCATCCTTTACTACCAATATGCCTTTTATTACCAAGCAGCTGAGCAAGGACATTTATGACATGCTATCATTGAGACAAACATCAACAACAAAGTTTTATATATATTTAGCTATAGTTAAGAAGTTTGCAACTATGCATGAAATGCTGCCATTGCTGCAGCCTGAACATCATTCCTTTGGATTTCTGTCATTGTTTATTCTCCTTACAGAGAGTATGAGGCAATTAAACCCTAAGGCCATGTAAACATTACTGATGTCAAACATCTGTCTCTCCCTGTTATTTAAAGCCATGGAGGGTTTATCAACAGAGCAGCTTTTAAGTGCCTGGTCACACTTTCTTCCTAATTAAAAAAAGAAGAGAGCGAGGGAGAAGAGAGGGAAAAGAAAAAAAACTCACCTTAAAAATAGCTTTTCAACATATCACTGGCCTATATTTTAGTGACACAGGTCTGGTATTTTGACAGCTTGTTATTTAAATTTTATAAAACCAGTGAAGTATAATCTTCAGCTGGCAGAAATAAAGGCTATACCATACTTTTCCTCCCTCATAAAGCAAATATCCATTTTGCCACTACCAAAATTTGTAGAAAGAATACAAGTTATTTGATCTATTTAAATACTTGATTTAAAAGTAAATCAGTAAGCCAACCCACAATAGTAATCTGGGGCTGTAGTTCAGAGATAACTTTGAACCACTTGTCTTCATTACTGTGATCCCCATTAGGCCTGGGGTGGCATTGGAAGGTTTTACACCCAGAGTTTCCTTTTCCGTATTTGACAAAATGGCACATATTGGCTTGCCAGATTTTTTTTTTTTTTTTAATGTCCATGAATATATGGGGGAGGGAAGGAGGAAGGAAGAGAAGGAAGTAAATAGTAAATGAGAACTTCAAAGTCAGAAGTAACAATGTAGAACAATGACTTGTGTATCTTATAATATACCACGGAATCTATTTGTCTTGGTTTAGCAGCTGCTAAAAGAAATCAGCTCACAATGCTTTGATATTTCCATGGGAGAAAAACATTTTAAAAAAATGCTACGGGCCAGGAATCAGACTCAGCTGAGTCTCAGGAATCAGCTGTCTTTTATGTCACAGTTTTAAAAGTCTCAATTTTGTAGGTTGAAGAGTACATGGACTTCAGCAGAGGTCGTATTTTTTTCATGATTCTGTAGGAAAAGGATTGATGTACCCAGAGAGAAGAAAAATGGGGAAAGTGGCCAAAAACACAAAACAAAAACAAAGGAAAAGGGTTTGAGACAACGGTGCTCCTGCCCCATCAGCAGGCTGTGGGTAGGGAAGTTAGTCTTCTCTTTTCCCTCCACTATATTATTTAGCCTATCAAGCATTTATACTCTCCACATATCTAACCTTGGGCATATCTTAACACTAGAAAAACCCTATGACGACTACATCCATTCATTGTTTGGGGGGGTGTTTGTTTTGTTTTTACAGGGCATTTTTAAGACCAAAACTAAATATCCACTTAGGTAATAAATTGCCCCACTTTTACAGCCACTAAAAACGAAAGTTTTTTTCCTGTATCAAAACATATCTGCCTTTTTCCGCTCCCAATAAAAGTACCTGACATGTTTTTAGATAGCACTGAACATTCATATACAGCTTTTGTACACAGAAAAATAATTCAATGGATAATTGTTCTTACTTGTAAATATTGTCAGCCGCTTTCAAAAGAGAACAATACATTTCTCACAGCTTTTTAAGTTGAGGGTGGCAGGCATGGAGAGAAAAGCATAGAGCTTTGTACCCCAATCAAATGTAATAACTTGAAATGGTATTTTTATTCTAATTGATGTTTTTCTATAAAGCTAACATAACATGCATGTTAGCCTCAGAGCACATCATACTACTGAACAGCTTTATTTGGAGTGAAACTGTCCCCCTTCTATTCATAAATCCGTCACTTGTGGTAGAGACTCCCCGACACCAGGCAAACACCCAAAAAGCTTGAAATCTTGTTAGAAATTCTCAAAGCTCATATAAAGCAGTAACTGAAATTATTAGATTGAGTTATATAGAAGACAGCAACAAAGGCAACAAACTCTTCAACTGCCTGCACTGAAAACTGAGCCCAGTTGAAGAAAAGTTGCAGAAAGACACACACACTTTGTGGTACACAGTAATCATGCAGTGAAAGATTAATTCCCAGCTGCTTGACAACCATCTGGACAATCTATTGGTTAAATACCAGCCTGAATTGCTAACCTACCTCTTTGATCTTTCTCAGTGTCTCCAGCACATATGTGCAATAATTAAAGACACAGGTCACAAACTACTGCTAAAAAATACACATATATACACATATCCCCATGACCAGACCTATCATATTAGTAACTCTAAGCCTCAGATCAGTTTGTGAAAACAGGGTTTGTCCTGGCACACACTGTGCGTCACATCGGTCTAGCAATAAACGAAGGTTTTGGTTTTATTACATTACATTCTGAAGGGTTATCAAAGATGACAGGATGAGATTTCCTCATA